TCCATTGGAGGATCCAGAAATAGTACAAAAATAGTCTGGGGACGATTCTTCTCTGACATTGCTTGACCATTCTGATTTTTTGCTGGACTATGTTCTTCTCTCTCGCCCCAAAACCGCCAATCTGGGGACATTCCCGACCGAAGCTTTGTGCCCCTCCCCCTCTTGGGACGTCCCCCCCCCCTCTTGGACGCCCCCGAGGATCGGCGGGCCGCGCACGCGCCGCCGAGGCGTCGGCGTCGTGAGGCTCGGCTGCGTCGGAGCCCCTGGGCTCCTCCCGGGGCCGGCGAGGCTTCGCCGACGCGCCGCCGAGATGGCGGACGCAGCGGCGATGCGGCGCGAGCCACCGACCCCATCCCAGGCTTAGGTCGGGCCTGTCCCCGTACAGGGGGATTTTGGACGACAAATTTACCAAATGCGACAAAAATGCACAACAAATGCTCAAAAACGGTCAAAAAATAGTCCCCCGACTATTGCTTGACTATTTTTGAAGATTCCCCCTGTAGAGGGACAGGCCCGACTTAATCCTAGGCGATTGCAAACATGGATCAAGCGGGCGTGAATTGGCGACGGGTGCCGTTTCCTGTTTGGAAATCTCGGATTTCCGCCGCCGAGCGAGGCGGCACCGGCCGCATTTTTTGGGGAGGGCACCTCCCCCGATCCATGGCTTTGGCGGGCCGCGCGCCAAATCCATGGATCGCTAACCCAGGTTTTCAGAGCCCCGAATCATCAGGGGTAACTCGGGTCAGGGATAACTCGGTTTCGTTTCTCGGGAATCCAAACCCGAGTTACCCCGGACCCGAGTTACCCCGGATAACTCGGGCGTCCAGAGCCCCGAATTATCAGGGATAACTCGGGTCAGGGCTAACTCGGGTTCCTTTTCCTGGAATCCAAACCCGAGTTACCCCGGACCCGAGTTACCCCGGATAATTCGGGCGCCCAAGGTTTGCGCGCCCCCGACCATCTGGGATGCCTCCACTGGGCCCGCGGGGCCACGCTGCGCCACACGGGCGGCAGGGCGCGCGGGGTGGGGGCGGCCAGAGTTGGGAGGGCACCTCGGCTATCTGCGGCGGCCCGCCCAGGGGGGGAGGTGGAGGGGGCGGGCCTTCTCTTGAAGAAGGAGGCAAATATTATCCCAGTGCGACCCTGCCTAGGAGTTGGAACCCCTAGGAAAGCAGCATTAGTAGTAACAGTAACGCTAAGCTAAAGCTAAGCTACAGCTCAGCTAAAGCTCAGCCACAGCTAAGCTAAAGTTAAGCTAAAGCTAAGCTAAAGCTAAGCTAAAGCTAAGCTAAAGCTGAGCAACAGCTAAGCTACAGCTAAGCTACAGCTAAGCTAAAGCTAAGCTAAAGCTAAGCTAAAGCTAAAGCTAAAGCTAAGCTAAAGCTAAGCTAAAGCTAAGCTCAAGCTAAGCTAAAGCTAAGCTAAACGCTAAGCGAAAAGCTTAGCGAAACGCTAAGCTAAAGCTAAGCTACAGCTAAGCTAAAGCTAAGCTAAAGCTAAAGCTAAAGCTAAAGCTAAAGCTCCCAGGGGACTGGGGGGAACCGCTCCCAGGGGACTGGGGGAACCGCCCGGGGCGCTTTGCACTGCCCGGCCCCTTTAAGCGAAGAGAGTAAGAATCCTTCTAGGCAGAGCCTAGGTAGGGAAAAAAGAACACAACACCGCGCAAACATGCACTCTTGGCGCTCCGCGCGGATTTATCTTGGATCCGTGCTGGGTCCCCCCAGCGGCGCCGTCCGCGCCGCCCCCAGCGCGCCCCGCGTGCGCCAGGGAGGGGGGTCCGGCGCGGATGCCAGAAAACTTCGCGCGGAGCGCCACATGTTGGTGTGTGTTTGCGCCGTTGTTTCTTCCTTTTGTTCCCTGGAATCGCAGAGGGCTTCTCAGAAGGCCGGCTGGCTTCTGAGAGGCCCCGCCGGCCTATGGGGAGGCTTGCCCCCCCCCCTCTCGCGCTCCCCCTCTTGGGCGCGCCACCCAGCTGCATATCAGGAGTGAAAAAACACTCAGACACAATTAATCGTCGACTCTCCAGAAAAGATGGGAAATGGGGGGGAAGACAGAAACCCAGAAAATATGAGAAAATATAGGGAATCCCAGGGCCCCTGCAGTATACCCCGACGGCGCGAGCATGGCCGGTCTGGTCCTCGGGGCCTTGGGCTCCAGGATCTGTGCAGGTGCCTTCCAGCCAAGAGCTGGGACTCAAAGTCGGGCGTGTCCCTCTACAGGAGGAGTGCGCAAGAATGGTCAAAACATGGTCTGGGGGCGATATTTCGACTATGTTCGGCTATTTTTGTATGCTTTTGGGCTCTTTCTTGTTCTTCATCCAGAGTCCGTCGGCAGGAGGACAAGTGTGTGTGCCTTCCTGCCAGAATCCAGGTGGGCGAACACATCGGCCTCTTACTGCACGATCTCAACCACTGCTCTGATGGCGTCGCTCTCTTTGGGCTCTCTGGCCCCTCACACAGGCCAGCGAGCGGCTGCGGTGTTCGCTCTCTCGCGCGCGTGCCGTGCATCGCGCGGGCAAGGCAGCGAGAGGTCGAAGTTTTAGGGCGGGGGGAGAAAAGCCCAAGGGTGCAAAGACCTGCCTTCCTATCTCCAGCGCCACCTCTGCCGCTCGGGAGCTTCTTGGGCACATCGGGAGGCTCTCGTCGCCATGGCTGGACGCGTCTGGGAAGATGGGCCAGGACGGAGCCATTCCCTCAGAGGGGGGAGGGACGAAGTGGGGGTGTCGAATACGAACTTTCTGCGTCGCAGCGCGGCAGAGGCAGTCCGCACGTGCGGTCGGGCAAGCCGGGAGACGGCATCGCTAATTGTCTGGCAGCCAGAGCGGAAAAAAGGGGGAAGGAGGAAGCGGCCGCGGGGCGGAGGTGGAGGAGGGAGAGCGCTCACGCGGCGGGGGCCGCTGCGGAGCCGCCGTGTCGACGACGAACAAACGACATACACATACCCTTGGCTCGGCGCTGGACCCCCTGGCAGCGCCTCGGGCGCCGCCCCTTGCGCTCCGCGCGCCAGGATCCAAGAGACCCTGCGGACCTCCGAAAGTTTATGCTCACAGTTGAAGCGCATGCCAAGAAACACCCTGCTTGCCTCCAGGGTGCCCTGGGCTTCTTGTGTTTCGATGGTTTTGCAATGGCAAGCTGGACGTTCCCACGCCGAAGCTCAATGGACGTCCTGGGGTCTCAGGAATGGGTTTCTCCTGGGGCCGACGCATCGCCGATGTATCGGCGATGCGGCGCTGTCCTCCGACCGCATCTGCTCCGACCCTATCCGGGAGGACTAGATAGCTCTGCTGCTGCTGTCCCTCCCCTCACATTGCCCTACACCGTTAGAGCATGTCCACATCCACCGTTTGGAGGAGGAGGAGGAGGAGGAGGACGAGGACGAGGAAGAGGAAGAAAAAAGGAGGAGGAGGAGGAGAAGGAGGAGGAGGAGGAGCAGGAGGAGAAAAAGAGGAGGAGGAGGAGGAGAAGGAGGAGGAGGAGGACGACGAGGGGGAATGCGGCGGCGTGCTCCCCGGACTTCGAGGCGCGGCGGTGGCCTTGGACCTCTGCCCGCCCACGGAGGCGGGCAGTTGTCCATGCACGGCAGGATCGCGCCGTGTCGACGGGCGGCTGCCGCCGCCGGCGTTTCACGTCGAGCGCCGCCAGCGACCCAGAATCTGCCCATGTTTTGAACGAGGTGGGAGCAGGGGCGAAGCGTCCTGGGTTGCCTGCAGGCCCACCCAGGGCTGTTCTAAGAACCTCTTGTGGTCTGCGCAGGACGTTTTCGGAGCAGGTCTGGCTGAAGCTGTCGTGTTGTTTTACATCTCGGATTTATGCTCTAAGATCAATTGTTCTTGTTGTTTGCACACTTTTGGGGTCTACGAACATTTCGTGGTAGGCTTTTGGGAATGCCAGGACGGTCGGTCCCTGCTAGAGATCTGACGTTTCGGAAACGGCCGATCGTTCCAGGGGGAACGATCCCCACGGTGTCAGGGACCAGCGTCAGTGCCGAAATCGATGCGCCAAGAGCCTTCGGTAAGACCGCTGCCCGAGGCCTTGGGGCACGACCCCCGCGGCAGTGGGTGTGTTGGCATGTCCCGGCGGCGCAGCTCCTCCTCCCGTCCCCTACCGCTTCCCCGCCACCTTCTGGGATTGCTGGAGGAGGAGGAGGAGGAGGAGGAGGAGGAGGAGGGGGAAAGGACGAGGAGAAGGAGGAGGGGGAAAAGGACGACGAAGAGGGCGAGGAATAGGGCGAGGACGAGGGCGAGGACGGGGAGTAGGACCCCCTGGCCCAGGGTGCCCCCCAGCTTCTCGCTCCAGTTTGGCCTCCGGGCCTCGTGAGGGGTGCTCTGGAGGCCGATGGGGGCATCTTTGGAAATCCTGGGGGTGAGCGAGGGGGGGCATTTTCGGTAGGCAGAACTGGCGATGAGGGATGAACCTAACGTTGGGTTTAAGGTGCGTAACTGCTCGCTCATCAGATACCAAGTCTTAACAGCAGGACGGTGGTCATGGAGGTTGAAATCCGCTAAGGAGTATGTAACAACTCACCCGCCGAATGGAATAGCCCCCAAAAATGGATGGGGGGCAAGCGAGCACGATAAGGCCTTCTCAGCAGGCGGCGGGACTTCTCGGAAGCCCTCGCGCTTTCCGAGGGAAGCTTTCTCTGTGTCTTTGGGGAGGGCTCAGGAAGTTTCCCAAAAGGCTCGGGGTACTCCCGAGCCTTCTGAGACGGCCCGCCGTCTCTCCCTCCCCCCCCCGGGGTCGCCGCCGAACCTGGGGCCAGGGCTATGCTGCTCCCATCGTACTTGAGGACCACATCCCAGAAGTATTTCCGAGCACCCAGAAGAGTATCGAAACACTGTCGAACAAGTATCGCTTCCCAGGGCCCGACACGTGAAAGCACCCTCGAGTTTCGGCATTTCCTCTCTTGGTGCTCGAAATTCTCGTTCGTAAGCAGCGCGGGAGTAGGCTGGAACATCCTCAGCCCAGGGGGGCTTCTGGCAACGCCCCCCACCACCTGCGGGCAGGCTCGCCTCCGGCATGCTGCCGGGCCTGGGGCTCCCGAGGCCCACCCCCGCGCGGCCCCTCGCCGCCCGCGTGTTGCCCCTCGCGGGCCCTCCGGTTGGAGGGTTTCTCTGGAGGGCTCAGGCGACCCGTCCTCCTCCTCCTCCTCCTCCTCCTCTTCCTCCTTCTCTCCTCCTCCTCCTCCTCCTCCTCCTCCTCCTCCTCCTCCTCCTCCTCCATCTCCTCCTCCCATTCCCCGTTCTCCCCCTCCTCCACCTCCTCCTTCTCTTCCTCCTCGGGTCGCCTACGGCCCCGGGGGAAACCGTGCACCTCCGGTCCTGTACGGCTCGGGCCCGTGGCGACGCGCAACTCTCCTCGTGAGCCGAGGAGGCGGCCGCGGGCGTATCCGTTTTCAGGGCGCCTGCGCACGCGGTCGCCCAGAACGCTGTCGCACAGACATTCTTCGTCGGTTTTGCGGCTCGAGGGTCAGGATCCATCCCATGCGCCAAATGTTGGCAGCCAGGCCTGGCTTGGCTCGGGTCGCGCCGGCGTTGACCGGCCTCGCACGCTCGAAAAAGCATAACGCCAAAAGTTTGTGTTAATGGCGTTCTTTCTCCTTTACACGCAGTGCCAATCGGGGGTCGGAGGGGAAAGGACACGCCGATTCCATGAGGAAGTCCGAGCAGGCTTTGACAACTGCTGGCCTCCAGGGGATCCCTCTTCGGGCCCCGGAGCCGTCGGAAACCGAGCCAGGGTTCAGAGGTGTCCATGATGGACTCTGCGAGGGGTCCAGGGTCAGCTTTTTGGGCAGACTTCGCAGTCCAGACTCGATGGTCGAGGTGGGAGAAATACATGCCGAAACCGATGGAGTGAAAACCCATTCCAAGAAACACCCTGCTTGCCTCCAGGGTGCCCTGGGTTTCTTGGGTTTCGATGGTTTCTCTATGGAACGCGTGACGGTCCCACACCGAAAATGAGTGGACGTCCTGGGGTCTCAGGGTTGGGTTTCTGGCGGAAGATTTCTCATGGTCGAGCTCCTACAGTACGTTTCCCTCGTCGTCTTCTTGTGCCTCCTGGGGGGCCCTCGTCGTCACGGCTGGATTCGCCTCGTCTTGGGAGAGGTCCGCGGCGGTGTCGGTATTTTGTAGGGGGGCGCGATCCACGTCGCCGTTGGCCCAACAGACTTCTGTTAGGGGGGATCATAAACCAGGGTCCCCCCCCCTTCATTCAAAAATAAGGGGAGGATCAGAAACCAGGTGATCCCCCCTAACCCCCCCCGCTCCAACCCCCCCCCTCTACCCCTCAAAGAAGCCATAAGTCCAGGCCCCTCCCCTCCTGTGAAAATTAGTTTCGGGGGCGTCCAGAAGCCCCCCCTGTGGAAAGCGACTCCCGCCCTCCCCGGGGAGAATATCCGAGAGGGGTCCAGAGGGCCCCCCCCCCCCCCTGGCAACGACGACGACGACGCCGCCGCCGCCGCTGCCACCGACGCCAACAAACAACGCAGACGACGACGACGACGACGACGACGACGACGACGACGACGATGCCTACGACGACACTGACGACGGTGACAACGTCAGCGGCGGCGGCCTCCGAAAAGTTTTCCGAGGGGGGGGGGGGGTTCTGGACCCCTCCTAAATGTGATCCCGGAGGAGGGGGGCCGGATGTCCGCCCTGCCCCCCTTTTTTTTGGGGGGGGACCCCGCCCCCATGGTAGCAGCGGCAGAGTGCGCTCGTTCGTGTCCTGTGGTCGGTCAGGATGCGTGCTGGCGTGACCGCGGCGTCTTTGCATGGGGAGCAGGCCGACAACCCGCTCCGGGATGCCGCTGCCCAATAGGCGCCAGCCCGGATTCGTTCTCTCCAGTCGTGTTCCTCTTTCCACCCGTTCTCCGTCCTGTGCTCCCTTCTCCAAGTCTGACCAGGTTTTCCATTCTGGTCACGTCACTCGTGACTCTGGCATTTTCCTCTTCCCAGTTTGCTACGCCACTACAGTGGAAACGCATGCCAAGAAACACCCTGCTTGTCCCAGGGTGCCCTGGGTTTCTTGAGTTTCGATGGTTCTGTGATCGATAGCGTGACGCTGCCACACCGAAAATAATTTGACCTCCTGGGGTCTCAGGGTTGGGTTTCGTGTGGAAGGTTCCTTGTGGTCGAGCTCCGACTGTACAGGTCGCAATCACTACTATCATCCTGTGCGCTGTGCTGGCTGTTGTCTGCGACCGCTGCACTCAATAGGAATTCGTGCTGCTTCGCGTATCGCCACCAGCCGGCGGTAGGCACTGAGTGCGGGCTCGGCCGCTGCGTCGCTAGGCTTGCGCATTGCTAATTTGACAGGCCCGTGGCCCGGACCTCTCAGTTCGGCGACTGCGAATCCGCGTCCGCCCGCGACCAAAAAATATCGCCACCAGCAGTCGCATCCTCTTGCTCTCTCGCCCCGGTGCTGAGATGCAGATCTCCTTGGTTTGGTCAGCTCTCAGTCGTCGGCTCCTGCTCGGGACTGCGCGTGGCTTTACCTGATCCGGTGGCTCAGGAGCTTGCGGTGCAGATTGCATCCATCGTTCCCCTGGCTACTTCGCCCGTCCCCGGGGCCACTCCGTGGACGGTCGTTTGCAGGATCAGTACTCCACTCAGGGGATTTGGTGTGCGACTTTGGCGGCCCCAGTTTGGGCCAGTATGGGCACCCATGACAGTCGTTTCTGTGTACTGGCGGGCTACCACGCTGGTCACATCCTGGCACGCCCCTCGCGCCTTTGCTAACTTGCTAACTCAACCACTCGCTAATTCGCTAATTCGCCATTGGTTGCGCCCCAGCCCTGGTTGGCCAATTTGCTGTGCGCGCCCCTGGACCTGGTCCCTGGCAGCTGCAGCTTGCACCCCCCCTCTCGCCGGCCCGCCCGCCGCGGCGCTGCTGAAGTCGCTGGCCCGTCAGCGTCAGGCAATTCGGCTCTTGCGCGGCCCGCTCGGACCTGACCCTGCTGGCGCCCTCGCCTGCGGTCGCGACAAAAAAGTATCGCCACCAGCCCATCCAGCAACGACCGAGGGCAGCAACACCGTGGCAACGCCAAGCCTTCAGGCAATGTGCAGCAGACCACACTGCAGACACGGGCAATATTAGTCCTGCAGCTATGGGCGATGGGCATGTCGCATGCACGGATTATTGTGTTTGCTTGGTGATTCACATTGCGATCTCGCTCGTGTGAGCTGTTAGCACGCGATAGACAATGTTGATTCCGCTTTCGGCCCTCATGCCGTCGCAATTCAGGAACATGCCTTGATGAGGGAAACGCAGGAGCAAGCAGGGAAACGCAGGAGCAAGCACCGGAGCAAACAGGGGGGCAGCCGTCCAACCGATGTTTTGGATCAGCGTTTGACCGCCCTGCCGAATGAAGAGGACGAGGACGAGAAGGTGGAGGTTGAGGAGACGGTTGATGATGATGATGATGATGGTGATGATGATGATGATGATGATGATGATGATGATGATGATGATGATGATGATGATGATGATGATGATGATGATGTTGATGATGTTGGTGCGGATGATGATGGTGATGCTGATGACGAAAGTGATAGTGATGATGATGCTGATGATGATGATGATGATGATGATGATGATGATGCTGATGCGGATGACGATGTTGATGCTCTGGTGATGCTGATCATACTGATGATGACGACGAGGAGGAGGAGGAGGAGGCGTGACGACAAATACGCGGACGGACAAGAGGAGGAGGGTGAGGTGAAAGCAGAGGAATGAGGATGATGATCAATATGAGCAGCAGTCATATGGCCTTCACGGCGCGCGTTCCCACCAGACTTTTGAAGAACCCTGGGCGAATGGACGAGGACGAATACGAAGAGGAGGAGGAGGTGTAGGAGGAAGAGAAGAGGGAGGACCATGAAACGGAGGAGGAGGACGGGGAACAGGATGATGATGATGATGATGATGATGATGATGATGATGATGATGATGATGATGATGATGCTGATGATGATGATGATGATGATGATGATGATGATGATGATGATGATGATGATGATATGATGATGATGATGATGATGATGATGATGATGGTGATGGTGGTGGTGGTGTGGTGGTGGTGGTGAGGAGGAGGAGGAGGAGGAGGAGGAGGAGGAGGGAGGAGGAGGAGGAGGAGGAGGAGAGGGGAGGAGGAGGAGGCGAGGAGGAGGAGGAGGGAGGAGGAGGAAGGAGGAGGAGCAGCAGCAGGGGGACAAGCAGGAGGAAGCGCAGAAAGGGGAAGAGGGAGGGGAGGGGGAGGGGGAGGGGAGGAGGAGGAGGAGGAGGAGGAGGAGAGGAGGAGGAGGAGGAGGAGGAGGAGGAGGAGGAGGAGAGGAGGGAGGGAGGAGGGAGGGAGGGAGGGAGGGAGGGAGGGAGGGAGGGGAGGGAGGGAGGGAGGGAGGGAGGGAGGGAGGAGGAGAGGAGAGGAGGAGGAGGAGGGAGAGGAGGAGCAAGAGGAGGAGCAGCAGAAGGAGGAGGAGGAGGAAGAGGAGGAGGAGGAGAGGAGGATAAGGAGGAGGAGGAGGAGGAGGAGGAGGAGGAGCAGTAGAAGTTGGAGGAGGAGGAGGAGCAGGAGGAGGAGGAGGAGAAGAGGAGGAGGAGGAAGAAAAGGAGGAGGAGGAGGAGGAGGAGCAGGCGGAGGCGGAGGAGGAGGATGATGATGAGGAGGAGGAAGGAAAAAGGAAGCAGAGGAGGATTAGGAGGAGGAGGAGGAGGAGGCGGAGAGGAGCGGGGGAGGAGGGAGGAGGAGAGGAGGAGGAGGAGGAGGAGGAGGAGGAGGGAGGAGGAGGGGGAGAAGGAGGGGAGGAGGCGAGGAGCGAGGAGCGAGGAGCGAGGAGCGAGGAGGAGGAGGAGGAGGAGAGGAGGGCAAGGAGGAGGAAGAGAGGAGGAGGAGGAGGAGGAGGAGGAGGGTCCTTGCGCCCGCTCGTTCGAAGCCCGACCCTCGCACCCGTCGTGCGCACGCGAGCGCCCAGGCCAGGCATGCTGCCCCCTGGCATGCTGCCGCTGCCTCCAGGACCCGTGCCCCCGGGCCTGCAGCACGGCGCCGCTCCGCTTGCCCCCCCCCTCGGCGCGGGATGGGCTTGTTTTCCGCCACCACCACAAGTTGGAGAGAGACAGCAGGAGGACGAGGAGGAGGAGGAGGAGGAGGAGGAGGAGTAGGAGGAGGTGGAGGAGGAGGAGGAGGAGGAGGAGGAGGAGGTGGAGGAGGAGGAGGAGGAGGGGGAGCAGGAGGAGGAGGTGGAGGAGGAGAAGAGGAGAAGAGGAGGAGGAGGAGGAGGAGGAGGAGGAGAAGGATGAGGAGGAGGAGGACGACCCCCTCCCGTTACATTTTATGGTGGTGGTGGTGGAAAACAGGCCCATCACCGCACGCCCTTGTGCGTGTCGCCGGCGACGACGGTGACGACGGTCGTCGTCGTCCTCGTCGTCGTCGGCGTCGTCGTCGGCGTCGGCGTCGGCGTCGACGTCGGCGTCGGTGTCGTCGTCGGCGTCGGCGTCGTCCTCGTCGTCGTCGTCTCCGTCGTCGGCTTGTCGCCGAGCGCGTTCCACTACTCGCAAAGGTGCCTACTCGCCAACGCCCGAAAACACACACACACATGCCTGCATCGATGTAACCCAGACCCCCTCGCGCTGTGGACAAAAACATACATGACGGGCGTTTTTTTCTGTATTTTCTGCCTCCGGGCCCCCCACCATGCCCGGGGACGGTCAAAAAACGACTGAGGGCGACAAACCGGTCCCGGGGAAGGGGTCCAGACCTGGGGGTCGACGTTATGACAAAAAGCACGACGTCCGGGGTCTAGGAATCCCCCATGGCGGATCCAGGCGTTTTGCGAGCAGTTTTTCGTTGCAAGCAGTGGACCGCGCTTGTCCAGCGCGCGTGTCCCCCCATCCCCCGCCTCCAGGACCGTAATCTGGCGGAGCTCCGCGCGGACTTCTCGGATCGGTGCTGGGGCCCCCTTGGCGCTGGCGCGCTCCGCGCGCCGGGGAGAGTGGGGGGTTCATCGCCGATCCTAGAAACCCGTGCAGAGCTCTAAAAGATTGTGTTCTGGGCGTGTGTTCATCCCCTACCCAGGCCCCTCCTACTCCTGCGATCGAAGCTTTGGGATACGGTCCGCTTCTGTTTTGGGCAAGTGTCGCTGTTCCTGGGGTCCTTCCAGGGGCTTTCCTCCTGGTGCCAAGGGGGGGCATGCAGGCGCAACCCATGCGGCTCCGCTCTCTATCCAGGTTTCCTCGTGGCACGACTCGGTCTGCACTATTTGTCCCTGCCCCCTCCCCCCTCCCTCCTCCCTCTCTGCCCCCCCCCCCCCCCCCTCACTTCCCCCTCTCTTCCGCCTCGGCGTAGGAGGGCGGGGGGTCCGAGAGGGGGGGGATTCACTCCCCTCCCCTCTCTCCGAGTTTGGGCAGAGGGGAGGCGGCGCCTTCCCTCCCGCGCCTTCCCCCTCCCCTCTCTCCGTTCATCCTTCCCCACGTTCTTCCATACCTCTCTTCCTGCCCGTCCACTTCCCGCTCCTTCATCCCCATCCCGTTCTCCTCCGCCTTTTCCGCCTCTCCACCTCTCCACACTAATACTCCATCTAAGTAGATTATCCCCTCTCTCTCTCTGTCTCTCTCCCTCTCTCTCTCTCTCTCCCCCCTGAAGACTGGATGGGAGCAGCCCCCCCTCTGCGTGCATGTTTCACGCAGGATTTATATGTTTGATTTTTCCGATGGCTTTTTCAATCGGAGCGTTTCCGATAGCTCCAAATGGTGCTGCCGCTACACCGATGTCCTAATTTTAGGACGGGAGCGTTGCTCCTGTCGCTCAGAATGGCGCTCTCACCCTAGCGCGGGAAGTTGTTCTGGATCCAACTCCTCCCTTATCGTTATCGCCTCGTTGTTTCCCCTCCTCCGCCTTCCCCTGTTCCTTCTGCTCCTCCTGCTTCGTGCTCCTTCCACTCCAGTTCCCGCTGCTCTTGTTGGTTTTGGTCCTCCTCCTCCTCCTTCCTCATCCTCATCCTTGTCCTCCGTCTCATCCTCCTGCTCATCCGCTACTTGTCGCTTCTGGTTTCGCTCTTGGTTTCAGGGTCGACATTGACACAGCCACCCATCTGCCACCTCCTCCTTCTGCGCAGCACATCTTTATTCCGATGGCGCATAGCACGATGGGGTCTTGTTGGGAGTTCCAGTTCCGCTATGACACGCGTCTGTGGACAGAGACACATCAGCGCAATGGGAAGGGATGGGTGAGAGGATCAGGAATTCAGAAAGGGCGCGAGTGTACCTAGCCTCATCCTCTCCCTCTCTCTCGCCTCTCTCTCTCGCTCTCTCTCCCCCATCCCCATCCCCCTAGTCCTCCCTTCCTCGCCCCCCCTCGCCTTGCTCTCTCCTCCCCATCCGCATCGTCCCCTTGAGCTCATGCCGCCTCCTCCTACCCGCCCCCAATGGGAACGGGGGAGAGATGAACGGATGGGACAGTCGGGCCAGACAGGACTGTGGGTTAGCGGTGAAAAGGATGGAAGGGGATCCGGAGATATCGTGTTGGGGAGGCAGCAGCACGGAGGGATGGGAGGAATGAGAAGGTGATGTGGAACGGGGGCTCCCGCGGCCGTCAAATGAGGGGCCCGAGAGAGAGAGAGAGAGAAAACAAAAATGAGAGAGAGATTTGCTGTTACCGTTGGTTTCGGAGCCTTCGAGCCGCGCGGCTCGCTTTTCGCGCAGGCCGGCGGCTCGAGAGAACCGTGTGGTGGCCGAGGAGGAAGAGGAGGAGGAGGAGGAGGAGGAGGAGGAGGAGGAGGAGGAGGAGGAGGAGGAGGAGGAGGAGGAGGAGGGGGAGGAGGGGAGGGGGGCACGGCGATGGGGCGAGGAGGGGCGCGGGAGGTGTGCCGACGGCCTCGGCAGCGCTCGGCCGCGTGCATCTCTTCTGACGGCGAGTGCCGTCGGCGAGCACACAGTGGAGGCCCCTGCCAAAAGACGCCCTGCCTGCCTCCGGGGTGCCCTGGGTTGCTTGGGCCTCGCTGGCTTCGCCATGGAAGGCGCGACGCTCCCACGCCAGAGATCGATGGACGTCCTGGGGTCTCAGGGTTAGTTTCCTTGTGGAAAGTTTCTTGTGGTCGGGCCCGTGCTGTACTGGACGCATGGGGCCGAACACGCTGCACGGGGAAGGACGCCCGAGCGGTGGCAGGTGGAGGGGGCAGGCCGGGGGGCCCTCGGCCGGCAGCGCTCCCGCACCCGTTGGCCTCTCGGCCGGCGGGCCAGAGCTCCCTCCGCGTGCCGCTGCCGACCCCGTGCAGCAGGAGCGCCACACCCTAGCAGGCGTCACCGTCCCTTTCCCAGGGTCGAAGCCATAAACATAAACTCTTGGCGCTCCGCGCGGATCTCTTGGATCTGCGCTGGGACCCCCTGGCGGCGCCTCCGGCGCCGCCCCTGCCTGGCGCGCTCCGCGCGCCAGGGAGGGGGTGCCAGCGCAGATCCAAGAAATCCGCGCGGAGCGCCAAAAGTTTGTACTTATGGCGTTTTGTTCTTCTTCTAGAGGGACACAGTCTCCACCCTTCGCCTCGGTGCCGGTGAAATTTCTGCGCGGGTGATTCTTGGAGATCTTCTCGCGAAAACAGCGGGCCGGTTCCAGCTGCAACGTTGCCTCCCCCCAAACGCTGCCCCTCAGCCCGGGGCGCTCCTCCGCTCGCCGCTCTGCCCGACCCGACGCCGGGGGGGCCCATCGTGCCGTGCCGCCCCCCCAGGCGCCATGGGCCTGGGCGGCGCCCCCGGGGGGCGGCCTCCAGAGGTGGAGGAGCAGCTGGGCCACCTGAGGCCGCGGCCGTCTGCCCGCGGCCGGAGGGGGGCAGCGTGAAGGCATCGTCGTCGTCGTCGCCGTCGTCGTCGTCGTCGTCGTCGTCCTCGTTCTAATCCTCGTTCTAATCCTCGTCCTCGTTCTCGTCCTCGTTGTCATCTTCGTCGTCGCCGCCGCCTTCGTCGTCGTCGTCGCCGCAGCCTTCGTCGTCGTCGTCGTCGTCGCGGAGGTCCTGCAAGGGGCACGTCTGGACGTCCTCCTCGCCGCGGCTGGGCGCGGCTCGGAAGAGCGGCCAGCGCGGTGTCCGGGCGCGGCCCGGGGACGGCACCCGAGCGGAGTACCGGTCCAGGGCTGCTGTGCAGGGGGGGGGAAGGGGCCCGAGGGCAGGGGATTGTGAGGAGGAGCAGGAGGATGTGAGGTTCGAGGACCAAGGCTTGGGGGCCTTCCCCCCTCTCCTTCCCTCGTCCTTCCCTCCTCTCTGCGCCTCTTCCTCTTCGCCTCCCTCCTGGGACCCCCCTCGAGCCTCCCAGACTTCTTGACGCTGTTGCTCCTACGGCACGTCGCTGTCTTCGGCCTCGGCCTTGCTCACGGCGTCGTCGTCCACCACAGGTTCGCTCAGCACCACGGCCTCCGCCATACACGAGTACCTGCGACCGTGTGTCGCCTCTGCGTCCTCCCATGCTCGCGACCCTTGTCGCCCCCCCCTTTCGGTGCCGGCTCTCCTGCTGGCCTCCCGCACTCTGCGCGCTTCCCCCCCTCCTCACGCCCTCCCGCGAGCGCGGGCCGCGTCCGTGCTCTGCGCCGCGTGGGCTGGGGTCTCGCCCTCGCCCCCTTCCCACCCCGCCGCTGCCCGCTGGTCCCCACGCCGGCCCTCCCCGCGGCCCCCCCGGGGGCCGCCTTGGCCTCGTGCCTGAACACTGAAAGGCGCGCGCCGAGGCTGGGGCTGAGGGCTCGCGCCTGGTCCCGCTGGCTCCTTGCCCACGGGTACGGCCTTCGCCGCCGATCTAGCTTGTGGCTCCTCGCTCCCTGGCGCCGTGCCACCCCCCTGCCCCACGCCCCGCGTGGGCCGCATGGAGCCCCTTCGACGCCTCTGCCCCCGCCTCTGGCTCCGGGGCACCTGGCGCGTCGGAGCCGTTTCACTGCCGTGGCCCCCTTCGCCACGGCGCCCCCGCCCAGCGGCCTCTGCTCCGCCAAGGCGCCGCCTGGGCTCCTCTCTTTCCCTCCTGCCGCGCGGCGCGGGCGCGGGCCGTCGCTACTGGTCGCCCGCCCGCCTTCTGCTGCGCTCTCGCCGCCACGGCCCGTCCGCCCACCGCGGCTCTCGGCTTGCGGCGGCTGGGGTCCGCCGGCCTCTCGGTTCGCCCCCTCCTGTGCGGGTAGCGTTCCCCTCTGCGTCCCTGCTGCCGGTCCTGGCGACCCGGACTCCCGTCCGTCGAGCGCCTGCATGCCAGCCGGCTTATTCACTAGTGTCGCCGCGCGGCTGACTGCCTTCAGTCTGCTTTCGGCGTGCCTGTGCCGCGGCGCGCACTGCTGGCCAGTCGCCGCTCACTCGATCCGCCGCCACACCCTCGGGCTTCGACGCACCTGACGGCTTGGCCCCCTTGCTGGGATGCATAACCCCTGCCCCGCTCAGCCCACCGCGTGCTGCCCCCCAGACAGGCGCGGGTGTTTGCGGCCCGCTATCTCTCGCAGGGTTGCCCTTCGCTGCGGTCACTGGACAGCCATTTTGGCGTGCACCCCCGGCGGCTCCTGCTGCCGATGGCAATCCCCCTGTGTGCGCCGCGCGGCTTGCCCCAGCTTGTCTAACCTCCCGCTGCTCTCCCGTTGCCCCTCGTCTCGTTTCTCTCGTGCGCATTTGGACTTCCGCTGGTTAGCGGCTGCTCTGGACGGCGCTCGGCCTTTCCGTTGCGCCCGCGATCAACAAGTAACCCCGCCGTTTTCCCTTAGCTGGTGGCACAGCATGCCCCTGCTTGCCCGGCGTTCGACCCGCTTCGCGCGCCCGCGTATCAAAAAGTACCCCCACCGGCCCATCCAGAGACGATGCCCAGAGGAGTTGCCTCGATCAGGAAAGTGGGCAGCACACAGAGGAAGGGTCCCGCTTGGAGCGCTATTGGGTGCCTCGGGGAGCCTTTTGGGGCCCCTTGGGGCTCTTATGGGAGCCTATTGCAGGCCTATTGGGCGCCTCATGGGACCATCTTGAGGAGCCTCTTGGGGCCCTGTTGAGGCGCTCTTGGGAGCCTTGGGCCCGCTCCTGGGGCCATCTTGTCGACGGAAAATCGATGGGAGCTCTGATTACGACCCCCCCTCGGGCTCGCCAGAGCGACAAAGGCCTGGGCTGGATCGCCGAGGGGCCCCGGGGGGAGCGTGAGCCGCGGGCCGCTACGGCTGCGACCGCTGGAGCGACCTTTGCTGGGGTCGCAGGGGCCCTCGTGCTGCCTCGCCTGCGCCCCCCCCCCCCCTGTCGCCCCCGTCTGGCGAGGGCGAGGATCGAGGCGTCTTTGGACGACGTGGGCCTCCAGTGGGCCTCCCAGGTCCCAGGTGGGGTCGGAGGATCGCGCCGCATCGCCGATGCATCGCCGATGCGGCTTCATGTGGGGCCCGAGTTGGTTCACGTCGACGTCGCCGATGCATCGCCGACGTCGACGATGCATCGTTGGTGCATCACGGTTGCATCGCCGATGCGTCGCCGACGTATCGTCGATGCGACGCGATCCTCCGAGCCCATCCACTCCGTCCCCACCCAGGAGGCCTGTATCTTCCAGTCGGGCATGCCCCCCCTACAGGAGGAATGTTCAAACATACGGAAAAAGGAGTACGACGACGATTTTTCCAATATTTGTTGATTATGGTTCAGCATTGTTTCGGAAACCCGCCAGTTGGAGGACATGCTCGACCTCTATCCACTGGGCCTTCATTGTCTGGGCCCGACCCTCCGACCCTATTTACCCCGACCCCATCCATCGGTGGCTCCAAAATGGTGTCCTGAGGGATGGGGTCCAGAGGGTACAAAGGGATCCAAGGGTGGATTCACGCTGTTTGAGGCACCTCGCCCTTAGGACCCACCCCTCAGGCCCCCATCTTTGAAACACCGAATCTAGGAGGCCTCTGTGCGGTCGTTGTTTATTCGATGTGTTGCCGATCGGCGCGGGCCTTCGCAACCCCTTCCTCTCCCCCCAAGCCCCTTGGAGTGGATCTTGGCTGTTCTCTTGGCGCCTGTTTCGATCGGGTGGAACCACCCCCCCATGGGACGCACGGTTCCAAACAGCCGCACGAAGCAGAGGCCCGGAGCCAGACCCCCCCCCCCTCCCCCCCCTCCCTTTTCCACCCAATGTCGAAACGCCGCACACGAAAACGCCCACCGATCCACCGGGCCTCCACTGCCGGGGCCTCCTCAGCGGGGGCCCCCGACGGCCCGATGGCCACGCCGTGCGGAAAGCCACGGCCGGGAAACGGCGGGGGGCCGCCGCGCGGCCCCCTGGGGGGCCTCGGGCCGTGCTCTCCGAGGACGCCTCTCGGGCCGCCGTGGGGCCTCCCCCGGGGCCACGGCACCGATGGGCCCACTGTCCACCACCGCTACCACATGTAGGAAGGGGGAGGAGGGAGGATGAGGAGGTCCTCCTCCTCCTCCTCCTCCTCCTCCTCCTCCTCCTCATCCTTCTCCCTGTGGTAGTGGTGGTGGAAAACGGTCTAATTGAGCACCGTGCGGATTACGGGCATTGCGTTGAGGTCTGTCCGTGGACGGGCTGGCGGCGATGTTTGTCACGGCGATGCAGGTCTCCGCATGGTGTGGGAACGCGTGGCTCGCGCTCTCCTTCCATTCGCGGTGTCGTGTGCGCTCGATCCCTTCGCAGACTGGAAGAAGTGCAGGCAAGCGTGGCTCGTGATGCCCCACGAGTTGCTTCCCAACGTCCACCGTCGAGCAGCATCGCCGTGAGCCCAGCCTTGGTCTCTGCGCACTCCGAGGCCGCCGAGCGGTCTGTCGCCGCATGGCTCTCTGGGCCCCCCCCGCCTTCGCCCTCCTCCCGCTCCTCCTCCTCCTCCTCCTGCTGCTCCTCCTCCTCCTGCTCCTCCTCCTCCTCCTCCTCCTCCTCCGCCTCCTCCTCCTCCTCCTCCTCCTCTTCCCCTCCGCGCCCCGGCCTTCCGCCCCGCGTGCACCCAAACGCCGCGCCCCCCCCGCGCGCCGCGAGGGAAGACATGCAGAAGCTGGAGGCGGCGGCCGCAGATATGCAGAAGCTGGGCGACGACTCAGGCCGCCGATCCTCGGAGGAGGAAGAGGTGCCCATACCGCTACTTGCTCCCCGTCTGTTTCTTTTTGGGGCCTCCTGGGAGGCCCTCGTCGCCACCGCTGGATTCGCTTCGGATTTCTGGTCAGAACGCGCCCAGCGCGGGGCTCGGCGACAACGCCAGGACTCCTAGCGTTGCCAGCGAGCCCCGCGCGGCCTATTCCTGCCTGAGCCGATCCCCTCCTGAGCCTGTCCCCTCCTGAGCCCCGCGCTGCGCATCCCCTCTGCGCTGCCTATCCTCTCCCGAGCCTATCCCCCGCGTTGCCTATCCCCGATACGTTTCATCCCCTCCTGGCCTGGGGGGGGATGGGCTCAGGGGGGAACGCATCGACCCCACATCGCTCACGGATCGCCGAGAGGGGGTCCGACAGCCCGCTTTGCCCAGGACCATGCGGATTCGCTATCGGGGGCTTGTCGCCGATCCATCGGCGACATGTGTGTATGGTTGTATGTGGAGGTATTGTGTATACATATATATATATATATATATATAGAAAAACGGCATCTTGAGATCCTCGTGGGGCCTCTAGGGGGCCTCCAGGGGGCTTCTTCGGGCAGAAGGCTTGAATTTTCGGTTCGTGTTTCTCCTTTGGGGCCCCTTGTGGAGCCGTTGTGGGGCTGTCTTGGGCCATCTTGGGCGCCTGTCGGGCCGTTTGGGGGCGGACCGTCTTGGGCCCTCTTGGGGGCCTCGTTGGCCGTCTTGGGGCCATCTTGGGAGGCCTCTGAGGCCATCTTGGATGGTCGGAAGCCCGAAAACGCGATAACGCGAACCACATAACAAAACACAATGACAATCAACGATTGTTGCCTCTTTGGGCTCCCTTGGGGGTCCTCTTGGAGCGCTCTTGGTGCTTCTTTGAGGCCCCTCGGGACATCTTGGGGCCATCGTTTGCGTCTTGGAGCTCTATTGGGTTGTCTTGGATGTCTTGTGGGCGCTTCTTGGTCCCCTCTGGGCCTGTCTTGGTTCCCACTGGCCTCTGGACAAGTCACGCGACGCAGCCCAGGAGCGCGCGGGAGCGCCCAGGAAATTTGCGAATCTGCGGTCCCAGCCCCGAGAATACTAGAATCCCCCAGTCTTGAGTACTCCAGATTTCGTAATAAAAGGAGGGGGGTCTCATTTCGGGGGGGGTCTCTTCCAGGCTATCTTGGAGGGCCTGGGGGGGTCTGGGGACGTTGTTTTGGAGGGTTCTCCCACGGGAGAGGTCTGAAATGGCTTGTCTTGGAGGGTCCAGACCCCCTCCCTTTTATTACGAAATCTGGAGTACAGAGAACAGGGAACTCATGAGAGCCTGGGGGTAACTCCACTTCGTGCCTCGAGGCACGGTGCCGCACATGTATATATGTATATACATACACACAAACTTCTATGTGTATGTCTATATATAAGGTATACACAAAGAATCTCGCATATTCACGCTCGATGTTTCCCCCCCCTGAGCTGCCCCCCTCCCTAACGTTGCCCCTCGGGCGACCTCTTCGCCACAGAGTGGCCTCGCCCTGCTTGGCTTCTCGAGGGAAGGAGGCATTTGGAGTCGGCCGGGGGTCTGAGGTGGCCCAGCACTGGTCCTGGGCAGCAGGAAGGGGGGGGGGGCGAGGTTCGAGGCTCTGGGCTCGGGAATGTGTCTGGGTCTTGTTGCCGGGGCCCGGGGACCGTAAAAGGACGAGTCTGAGGTGGACAGTGTTACTACCAGGTGGACTCCTGGGAGAGGTCGGGGGCAAGATTTTGAGCGGCACTGCCCCCCTTCGTCCGATTTCGAGGGGACCGAGCTGTTTTTTTTGTTCGGGGCCCAGCCAGTTCAGATCCCTGGACAGCTCCCACCAAGGGAGGGGGGAGGAGCCGCCCCGTCCCCCACAGTCGGCGTTTACGAAACGACCCTGGGCGTTTACGTGCTCGGCAGCCCTGCCCTGTTCGAGCCCCGCCTGACGTGCGGTTACTCTCGAAGGTTTCGCTCGTTGTGGTGCTTTCTCTGCTGGTGTGTGTGTGTGTGTGTGTTTCTGCCATCTACGCGGCGCGGCCCCAGCATACTACTACTATGTGTGCGTCGACCTCCCAGGGGCCACTTGCGCGCCGAGAACTCTTGCAGCACAAGCTCCGTGACGGGCGCGTCTGGCCAGACCACTCGGGAAACGATGTGCTCCACGATGTTGCTACTGCATGCTCGGGTCGGACGCACGCCTTCGTGGAGAACGGACACAGTACTGATATGTCCTCATTCGTCCCACCTATTGAAGGGAAGGAGGCAGGCAAGACTTGGGGAGGATGGCGCGGACTACAAGCACATCGTGGGACAGCGAGCGTCGCCCTTGGCGCGCCCGGCGGCAGGCCCGATCTCGCGCCCGGAAGGATCGCGCCGCGCGAGCTTTCCTTGGGTGCCTCGACCTGGACCTCCGCATCAGCTCGACCTCTCCGCTGGACTGGAGCTGCTCGTCCACGCGCTCTTTCGGGACAGGGCTCGTTTCGATTCCTCCGACTCGATTCGAGTCGATTTAAGCGGCATCCGATTCCGATTCGGCTTCGGATTCCGATCTGGCTTCCGATAGCTCGATGGAGTCCTACCCTACTAGCCTGCCGATTTCCGTCGATTCGACTTCTCCCGACTTGATTGCCGATTTCCGCCGATCTGACTCATGCCGATCGCCGATCCGACTCATCCATTCGATTCTGGGCTCTCGTGCTCCTTGTGGACAGGGCCCGCGCAGCTGTCGCACCAGACCGCGCGGAGGAAGACGGGGAGGCAGGAAAGGAGGGGGCGCCGCGCTCTTCGGGTGTTGGTGGTGGCCGCGTGCCTGCCTGTGAGGCCGGGAGGAGAAGGAGGGGGGGCGGTGGATCCATGTCTCTCTCTGAGGCGCTTCCGCCTGCAATGCCGCACGTGAGGTCATCTGTGCTCGAGATCGAAGAGAAGCGAAACGACATGAATATAAACTTTTTGGCGCCCCGCACGGATTTCTTGGATCCGCGCTGGGCCCCCCGGGTCTCGGGCGCCGCCCCTGGCGCGCTCCGCGCGCCAGGGAGGGGGGTCCAGGGCAGATCCAAGAGATCCGCATGTTGACGTTATGTTTTGTTTGTATGTTATATTTACATATATGCATGTATCTGTATATGTTTGTTTTGTGTTCTTACTTACTTTCAAGCAGAGATGGTCGACTCGGTTGCGCTTCCGGATTCCGTTCCTTGCAAACGCAGGCCGCAGTCCCAGCTCAGACCCCCCGCCCACACAGGGCAGCAGGGAGACGGGCATAGCGACGCGCTCCTTGCTGGCACCAGCAGCACGCAGGGCAGCGCAGAGGGGAAACGTTGGTGCGACGAGGCACGCAGCCATGCTCCAAACGCGGACAGGTCACCGCACGTGTCAGCAGCATGCGGTCTGGTGGGTTGGAAGCCTCCTCAGTGGCAGCCATTCGAACCCGCGTGGAGCGATTTTGCTGTTGGGGTGCGGATTTGAGCATCGCTACCAACGCGAAGAGAACATGCTCGACGCCGACGGGGTAAACCAACAAGGCGTTTGTGGAATGGAGTTGTAGCAAGGTGCTCTTGGATACGCGGCTGTCTGTGGGTGGCTGCGGCTGAGGGGGGCCCTTGTCAGGACGAACCCGAGCCACCGCTCGCAGTTGGCCAATCGACTCGGCATGAACTCAGCTGCCCATGTCAGCTCGATCCCTGAACAGGCCCTTGCGAGACGACGTGACAGGTTGTGAGATGACAAAGGGATTAATGATGAACCGTCATGACAGACAGATGGCGACGCCCCTCCCGCCGCACCGAGACTTGAGCGCGCCATCGCAAGCCAGCCGGTCGCTAGCGGGCTGGCTACCCCTTCGATTGTTGACCCTGCGTAGAGTTGAAGGACGGGCCGTCTCACCGCATTTGTTTCTTTGTTTGTTTGCCAGTATATTGCTGCAGTGAGGGAAGCTTTCTTCGCAACATTGTGGGCATTGGTGCAAAGATGTTGTGGAGTTGGACAAGCAATATGGGGAGGAGGAGGAGGAGGAGGAGGAGGAGGAGGATGTGTAGAAGGACGACCAGATCGAACAAGATGGGGGAGGAGAAGGAGGAGATGACTTGAGCAGCCGCGGGTGTGCTGGAGATGCGGGGATCGGGGTCGGCATCGGCACAGAGGCGCAGCACCGCCAGAAAGAACAGAGCCTGCCCGGACCGGCGCGCACGGCATGTGGCAGTGAAGAGCCCTCCGCAGCACAAGAGATCCATCCATCCAGAGGAAATTCCACGTGCCCAGGTGGCCTTTGGCCGTCTTTCGCAAGCGCCCGCCCACCTACGCCCATTCCCCCCTTACGCCAAGTCTTTCAATGAAGAAGTACTGTATCGTCGTCTACCAGTGAGAAAGTACGCGTCTTGAAGCAGCACGTCGTAGGGTTCTCCCCGCGTCCCTGTGAAACTTGCACGTGGCTTGCCAGCGAGCACCCGCCCCCCAGCTCACCAGCGGCGCTGCGCGCCGAAGGTGAGCCGGGGGGCAGTCGAACTGCACCAGGGAATCCATCCAGCCGCTCTCTTCCTCCTCCTTCTCCTCCTCCTCCTCCTCCTACTTTTCCTCCTTCTCCTTCTCCTTCTCCTCCTCCTCCTCCTCCTCCTCCTCCTCCTCCTCCTCCTCCTCCTCCTCCTCCCCCTGGGCCTCCTCCTCCTCCTCCGCCCTGGGGGCGTGCGAGCTGGACGAGGGCCCCTCGCAGCCGCCCGCCGCCCCCCCCCCCCCCGAGGCGCCCGCTTCAAGCTGCTGCTCGCGGGCGAGGTCCGGGACAAGATCCGGGAGCGCGCGCGCCGCCCGCTGCCCGCCCCGCGGCCGGTGTCCCCTCCCCTCGGCTCGCCCGCGCCGGCCTGCACGGTCTGATCCGGCCTCGTCCCTCTCTCTATGGGTCCCTCTCTATGGGCCCCTCTCTCTATGGGGTGGACAGACTTCCCACCCTGACACGTCGATTAGCGACTTGGCCATTTTCGGCTCGCGAGAGGGCGTCGCGGCGGTAATTTTTGCGGGTCCAGGCCCGTCGGTTTCGGTCCCAGGCCGTTTTCACTAAGGGGAGGCTTGCTCAAGGGAGGCTTGTCCACCGCTGGAATGGGCACGATGCCCAAGAGCCCTTCATGCGCATTCTGCACAGGACTCGCTGTCCACGCCGCCGCGGGCGTTGTTCACTGAAGACGAAGAGCCGCCTGCCCAACAGCGGCCGCTGTCGGTTTTGGACAACGTTTGTTGTTGGGCAGCTCTTCCGTATCCATTTCGAGCGTTCAAATTATCTTCTCGTTCCATACTTGCTATTTCGCTTTCGTGCCTCCATTCCCGAAGAAGAGAAAACTGCATGAACACAAACTTTTGGCTCTCCGCGCGGATCTCTTGGATCCGCGCTGGGTTCTCCCGGCGGCGCCTCCGGCGCCGCCCTTGGCGCCAAAAGTGCATGTTTGTGCCGTTGTTCTCCTTTCATACTCGCCTTGGGTGCAGCCCACCGCTCGCTTTGACTGGCGCGTGACCGTCTCATACGCCCCGTCGCCCGCGGAGTTGCAGAGTGCCCGCCCCGCGTCGCCGTCGGCCGGCCGAGCGAACAGCTGGGAGCCGCCTGATCTCGAGGAAGCGCAAGCATGGATCCGGGCGCGTGGTGCATTCCGGCGGCGAGCGATGGGGGGAAGCGAGACGGGTAAGGCCTTTTTGGAAGGTTCGGAAGCCTTCCGGCTTTCTGAGAAGTGTTTCAAGCCTTCCCCGAAGACGCAAAAGTTCTTCAGCAGGCGCGAGTGCTTCTGAGAAGGCCTTCTTCTTCTCACTTCCCCCTCTCGCTCGCCGCCGAGCATATGCGACGGGTCCCGTATCCATACGAGGCCAGCGGATCCGTCGCCGACTGAGGCGGCACCCGTCAGAGCCCCGAATCATCAGTGCTTGGGGGCGGTCAGGGGTAGTTGGCTGCAGATTCTAGGCTTGGAGGCCCAAGCTGGAGTTAGTGTCCCAGGACCGCCTTTAGCTCGGGTAATTCGGGCGTCCGAACTCCGAGTAGGGGATCGATCTCATAATTGATTTGCCCCAGAATCGTTTTTTTTCGTCGAGCCCATGGGAAACATACGTAGACTAGTCCGTAGCTCTGCGCAGCATCGCAGGTCTGATTCTGCAGTCGATCCCCTACTCGAAAACTGGCATCATGTCTTTCGGTAGCAAATCATGGGAGCCGTGTGTACCCGTAGTGCTGTCTCTAGCGTCGACTCGCCTCGATTAGCGTCGGGAGGTCGATGAGATGCGCCGATTTAGCGACGTTTAGCGCCAGTCGGCGTCGATGTTGCGTCGATTAGGGTCGATTCAGCGTCGATCAGCGCTGATTTGCAAGAGCCGACAAGGTGGCTTGGGAGGCTTCCATGAGTTGCCACCGAACTGTCTGCGTGGGTCCTTTCCCCCGATCCGTAGAGCTGGCGCCCGCGCGCCATGATCCACTGGCCCCTGGTCCACGTCAGCGATGTTGCCCGACGTTCGCCTTGCCGCCTTGGTTGCCTCGCATGGTTTCGGCAGGTTCGTGCCGTGTCGACGCGGCGGCGGCCCCAGCTGACCCCTCCCCATGCCCCTCCCCCTCCCCCTCCTCCTCCTCCTCCTCCTTCTCCTCCTCCTCATCCTCATCCTCCTCCTCCTCCTCCTCTCCTCCCTCCTCTGTCCTCCCTCCTCCCCTGCCCCCTCTCCCTGCCTCTCCATCCCTCCTTGTAGTCTCCCTTGGCCAAGGACCGGTCGCCATAGAGCGATCTGCGCCAGCGGGTATCCGCCATCCTTCAGGGTTGACCGATCAGCGTGGCGTCCACCGCCGGCGCGCAGATCGTCACGGAGCAGACCTGCCGTGCGCTGCGGAGACGTCAGGGATTCTGTTCGCGGGCTCTTGCCGCCCTGCGAGGCCGAAGCCGACCTGTCAAGATTTACCGTGAGGAGGAGGAAGAGGAGGAGGAGGAGGAGGAGGAGGAGGAGGAGGAGCGAGGAGCGAGGAGCGAGGAGCGAGGAGGAGGAGGAGCGAGGAGCGAGGAGGAGGAGGTGGAGGAGGAGGAGGAGGAAGAGGAAGAGGAAGAATAATAATAAGAATAATAAACATATGAAGACGAGGAGGAATAAGAAGAACAAGAGGGGGAAGACGAGGAGGAGAAGGAGGAGAAGGAGAAGGAGGAGGAGTAGCAGGAGGAGGAGCGAGGAGGAGGAGCGAGGAGCAGCGAGGAGGAGGAGCGAGGAGGAGCGAGGCCCAGGGGCCCTCAAGAGTGGACCGAGGTGCCCAGGGGCAGCCCGCCCCCCGCCCTCCGGGCACGTCAGGCAGGCCGCGGCGGCCCTCCAGGCCGGGGCCGCGGCGGCCCTCCAGGCCAGCCACAACAGGGGGAGCTGTGGTCCTTACCCCCCTGGGGGGACCCATCAATTTCGACACCCCTCTCGAGAGATCGTCGATGCGGGGGGTAAGGACCACAGCTCCCCCGGTTGTGGCTGGTCGGTTTCTCCGCTCTCTGGGCTGCGGCCCTGACGCCCGCCCCTCTGGCCTTGTGATGCTCCAACCTGCTCGTAGTCTTAAGTCGGGCCTGTCCCTCTACAGGGAGAATATTCAAAAATGGTCAAGAAATAATCTGGGGATTATTGTTTGACAATGTTTGAGCATTTTTTGCGCATGTTCTGTGTATTTCTAATTTTTCGTTCAAACTCGGCGTGCAGGGGGACAGGCCCGACTTAATCGTAGTCTTGAGCGCCAGAGGGAATTCCGAGCCCCAGCAAAGGTGCCGAAACGGGAGGGTTTTCACGTGTCGGGCCCTGGGAGGCGATGCTCGTTCGGCGCCGTTTCGATACTTCTTTTGGGTGCACGAAAGTATTGCTGGGGTGTGGCCCCTAAGTAGGATGGGAGCAACATGACTCTAGCCCCTTATCCAGGGCTCGTTTCGATTCCTCCGATTCGATTCGATGTCGATGGCTCCCGATTTCGATTCGATTCGACTTCGGGTTCCGATGTGGATTCCGACTCTTTACTGGAGACATTCTCGCTTGCCGGTTTCCGCCGGTTCGACTCCTCTCGACTCGGCTGCCGATTCCCGCCGATCCGACTGATTTCGATCGCCGATCCAACTTGTCGATTCGATTATGTGCTCTCCTGCCCATCTCTCTTCCTCTGGCCTCACCTCGATGCTCCGCTCCAGCTCCCCCGCTCCCCGCCCCCCCTGTCCTCCCCCTTCCGCCCCCCCCCGTTCCCCCTCTTCTTCTTCGCGCAATACGGATACTACTACTGCTTTCCTGTCCCCCCCGACAACGTCTTGAGAGGTCTTGGCGATTAATATCCCTTTTTAGAGTCGGGGGGGCATCCTTACCTCTTCGAAGTATTATGACAGTTGTCTTTCAATGGGCCACTTCCTGCAAATAACTGTATTCATGTAATTCATTTATTGTCTTTTGACCAATGACTAAGGAATTCGGGCGAGGTTCTTGCAACATCTTTGATGCGTCTTGGGTTTGCCCTGGTCCTCCTCTTCCTCTTTCTTTCCCCTTGACCACCCTCCTCCTCCACTTCCTCCTCCTCCGCCTCCCCTCGATCCTCGCACGTGTACTCGCTGCCTCCTGAGCCTGCTTCGCGCGGGACCAGTCTTGATTTGCGAGACCGAGCTGTCTAGAGACAGGTTCCCTCGACAGGACCAGATACACGATATGTTGGCAAGCTGATCGTGTGCTGTCACGTGTCCAACGGCAGCACGATGTGATTGTGCAAGTCGCTGCAGAAAGTTATACCCAGGTCAGAGTCGAGCCAAGTTCTCTTGGTCTTCGATCCTGCTCTTCGATACTCCTCCTTCTTCCCTTGTCCTGTCGCCCTTGCCGCCCGGCGAGGAGCTGGAGGAAAAGCATCCGCCGGCTCCGACCGGGCCGCCGCCGGGCTTCATGATGCCTGGTCCAGGGGGGGGGGGCGGGAACGCCCCAGCCGTGCGGGATTGGCGGCCAGCGGGAGCGGGAAGAGGTTCTAGGCTTCCTAGATGGGGTCCGGGTAGATTGGGCCCGAGGATCGCGCCGCATCGCCGACGTCGCCGATGCATCGCCGACCTCGCCAATCCATCGCCAATGCATCGACGTTGCCTCGCCGATGCATCGCCGATGTATAGTGGATGCGGTGCGATCCTTCGACCCCATATACTCCGACACCATCTGGGAGGCCTCTAGGTTCAGGGTCCTTGCTCCTCAGAGTTGGACTTGTATTCCATCCGCGTGCACGCGAATTCCTTCCCCCCGTCCCGTCCAGCCGCCCTTCGCTTCACGACCTGGACATGCTACGTATCGGAAAAAGTTGCTGCCGTGGACAGGCATGAGGAGAAGCAAGAGGTGGTGGAGGGGGTGGATATTTAGGAATATCTACCAGCGCAGACCCCCCCCACACACACATACATACATATATATATATATATATATATGTATATATATATGTATATATATACACATATCCGAAGACTAGAAAAGACTGGGCAAGAATATACTGTATTGGACTGGGCTGGGGTGGAATCTACTCCACTTTACTCTTGCCCGACTCCACCACCTCCCCTGCTCTGCTCTGGTCTACTCCACCCTGCTTTGCTCTTCCTTACCCTGGGGGCTCCATCTGCCGAGCCCCGTCCGCCCCGTCCGCTGGCCGAGGCGGACGGGGCTCGGCGCTGAACGTTTCGTTTGTCGTTCGGTTGATCTTGGGGCCTTGGCGTGGCGCAGGGAGAAAACTTGCCGACCCTGTTGTGTTATATCAGATGCGACTTTCTTTTCTCAAGGCAGAGTCATGTCCTACTCCTACATCTTCCTCGGCTGCTCTACTTGACTTCGATTTATTCAATCGCGTCGCTCATTCCGCCGGCCCATATTGCGCACCGCGGTCGACTGGCTGAGAGGTCGTTGGCAGTGCGGAGCTGCAGGGGGCGGCGTTTTTTGTTTTTCTGAGGCGTTGTGTGCTCTACTCGACTCCGATTTATGACGGTCAACTTTTGTCTATTGTATTATGCGCGCGCATTCGTTTCTTATTTTGTTGGATCGGACGCGGCTGCAATAGCAGAGGAAGCCATGGCGATATCATAGGACGCCATGGCAACATCAGAAGAAGTCATTTCAATAAGGATGGGGAAACCCGTGGGGGTATCAAGAGGACAAGGTCTCTATGGCCTAAGCTGGGAGTGCAACAGTCAACCCTACGTGAATAATCGGAGCCATAGGGACAATCGGAACCAAACGAACCACCCATAGGAATCACCCGTAAGAACCTTAGGAACTAGAAGGGGCGTGCAAGGGCACCCTTCGGTCGTGGTGTGGGGGACAGTAGACAAGTTCTCGGGGGATTGATTGGGACTTATGTACACGAGCCCAGTTGGAGAAACAGCGGAGGAGGAGGAGGAGGAGGAGGAGAAGGAGGAGGAGGAGGAGGAGGAGGAGGAGGAGTAGGGGGGGAGGAGGATGAGAGGGAGGAGGAGGAGGAGGAGGACACGGAGGAGACCGGGGAGGCTAAGGAGGAGCAAGAGGAGGAGCAAGAGAAGGAGGAGAAACAAGAGGAGTAGCAGCAGGGACACGAATGAGGCTGGACGCGGAGCAGCAGCCGAGGCAGGAGCGGAGCAGGAGGGGGAGGGCAAGACGACGGCACACGACCACGACGATCACGACGACGGCGGCGGCGATGACGACCACGCGGGGGCACGAGGCGAGGAGCTCTTCCTATGCCTGGCCGCTCGGTGCGGGGCAAGCCGTCGCAGCCGCCGTTCCCCACCCCCCGCCGCAGGTCTGGGCATGATGCGGCCGCCGAACGCGCCCCCGCCCGAAAGGGGAGGCTTGCTCGGGAGGTGGGGGCTGGCGTCGTCGACGTCGTCGAAGCTCCTCCTCCTCATCCTCCTCCTCGTCGTCCTTTTCCTGCTCCCTCCTCCTCCTCCTCCCTCCTCCTCCTCCTCCTCCTCCTCCTCTCCTCCTCCTCCTCCTCCTCCTCCTCCTCCTCCTCCTCCTCCTCCTATCCTTCCCGCCGCCGAAGAGGAGGTCGTGAGGCACTTCGCTGCGGTGGGTTCGTGCCGTGCTGACGCGGCATCGACCCCGTCGCGGGCGCTGGAGGGGGAGCGCCGCTCCGTGGCGCAGAATCTGCCAATGCGGAATTGTCTGGGGGTTGCACTGCGGGTTGCTTGCAGTGGGGGGCAAGAGCGGCGGGGGGTCGTCCGCAGGGTCTGCTGCCTGCACCTGCGGTTCTTTTGCACCGCGTTATGATGCGGCGACCCCGGCGCGGGCGTTCAAGTTTGAACGCCGCCACTGGCCTGGAATCGGACGACATCGAACGATCGCGGGGAAGGCCTGATTTGTTTCAAAGCTGAGCGGTCCACGCGGTGTCAGCAGACAGCGTACAAATCGTCACGACAGGGACGAACCGTGCCCTCCTTTCGGGAAGAGTCGAGGACGCGGGTGCCAGCACTGTTTGCCGAGCAACCTCAGCAGCAGATAGTGCTCACAATGAGCTGAGCTCGAGCTGCTCCGTGGCAGACTTGTTTGGGGAAGCGTGAGGCTCGGATTCTCCGGAACTCTGGTTTGCCGACGTTTCTGAACGTGCCCGCCTTGAATTTTGACGGGCCAGTGTTCGTGGGGTGTGTGCATTTGGAGGTCGCGTCAAATCTAAGGTTGGGCCTCGTCATTTTCCTGACGGGCACGTCAGGCCAACCCGAGCCCCCCCGAGCACGAGTCTTACATCTCCCCGATGGTTCGACGACGGCTTGGGCAACCCAGCCGAGAAATATGGGAGGCCTGGAGGTTGACACCAGCACCAATATCGGTGGCGTGCCTCCACCGAGGGAAGGTGCTCCCGATCTCGGTGATGGTGGCAATATTCTGGCGTCCCAGGTGGCCGTATGATTACCACCAACGCCGAATGCGAGGATGATCCTGCCCCGGTTAAGGCATGCCCGCGGGTTGGTGGGTGCTCATTTCCAGAAGAGAATGCGCCCTTGGTTGCGGCGCCAGGGATAATCGCGCACGAGGCGTTCTTCTGTCTCGAACTCGTGGCGTTTGAGACGCACCCTGTCAGGACCCATGGGTTGCCTTGTCGGCCCGAGCCCATGCCGCTGGCCCTGGATCTCCCTTTCTCGTTGCCTCTGCCTTTCCCGACATCCGCGAACACCTTTGGGCCCTCCAAAACTAGACAGATTCCCGCTCACGCGTCAGTCGCGAGCTTCCTCCCCTGGCCCCCCAGCGCCCTCGCCCCCCCCCCTCGTGGCCCCGGCCCCATTTCACCCTTCCCCCTTGCGGGGGGGGGCCCGGCCGCCCGCCCCCCGCAGTGCCGGGCGCACGCCGCCTTTCTGCGGAGGAGAGAGGCGGCGGCGTGAGGGCGGCGGGCGGCGGGTTGTCAGAGACACGTGGCGAGGGACGCCGAGAAACGGCGGCGAGCGAGGGGGGGAAGCGATAGGACCCGATTCGGCGGCCAGAGTGCTGGACTCTTGAGGGTACCCCCCCGCCCCCACGATGCACAAGAGCAGCCAACGTGCACGGAGAACACTGGGGCACCTGCCCCGAACAGAGGTCGTTCTCATACCTCGGTCCGGCCGTATTCGAGGTGGGCGTTTGTTCGACTGGTTTCGGGCGCCAGGACCTTCACAGATCGATCCTGCTCGAAAAATGCAGCATGAAGATGGGGTCAGTCAATCGGTGGCGAGCGAGCGGGGGAAAGTGAGGAGGAAAAGGCTTTCTCAGGAAGCGGCGGGACTCCTCACAAGCCCGCGCGCCTTCTGAGAAGTTGTTCCTGAGGCTGAGAAAGCTTCGCAGAAGGCCGGGGGGCTTCCGAGCCTTCTGAGAAGGCCCGCCCCCTCTCACTTCCCCCCCGGGCTCGCCGCCGAAAGTTCCGCCGTGAGGGGCATCGAAAAGGGATTTTAGCCAGCGTGGACCCCGAACAGTAAGATGTTACATAGTGTGTGTGGGCCACGTGTTCTATGAGGTGCGATTGGTTTTTTACCCATGAGTTGACACATCCCACGCTTTTGCAAACATCACACCCACCCACCCGCAACTTGGTTTGAAAAACCCATGCGGTGGCGATTGCGATGCATGCTAGGCGTTGGCTGCTGCATCTTTGCGGCCGCGCCAACCGTAGCACGCGCGCGCGCAGCGGCCAGCTAGTTTGGCGCCGCCGACTCGGCCGCGGTGGCGTTGACCGTTAGGCGCATCCCGCGGACCGTTGACCGTAAGGCGCGGCCAGTGCGGGCGTCGATGCTGATCACGCCGACGACGATGATGGCGTTCTCGCGTCGGCGATGGAGGTTTTGAGAAGAGTTCGACATGCGCGCGCGGCCGACGAGCGATAGTGGTCCGCATGGAATTATCTGACACGGATCTCGACCCCCCCAAAAAAACACGCGCGCAAGGGCATGCGAATGATGTCGGCATGCGGCGCCAGAGGCCCGTTTGGCATAACCAAATGCAATGTTTGAGAAAGGCTTTCTACAAGAGTTCGCAAGAGCGGGCGTGCAAGTTTTTGCAACTACTGTTGCGAAGTGTTGTGTTTTTGATTCTTGTTTAGGTATTTGGTTTTGAAATCGTTACGACCACCGATGGTTTTTGAAGGATGTCGGCATGCGCGCACGACGACGCCCACGTGTGCTTTTCGTCCCGCTTTTTGCCAAAAAAAGGTTCTCGCGACGGCACGCGCGCAAAAGGCGTTCGACTGATGTCGACATGCACGCGCGAAACCCGCTTGGTAAGATGTCATGGAAATGCTGAAGAACCTATGTTTCGCAACCGCGCGTGCGAAAGTCTTTCTTTGAAGGTCAGTATTGCGAAACCTTGCGTTTCTATATCTTGGTGGCAATCGATTTTGCAATCTTTCGGGGACCGAAGGTTTCTGGTGGATTTCGACATGTGCGCGCGACGACGCGCGCGTGCGCACTTCGTCGGTATTTGTTGTGAGAGACCCTTGGCAAATGATAGTTTTGGATTCAGTGTGCGCGCATAGTATTGTTTGCAGAGGATGGCGGGGGGGGGGGGTCGAACCCGGGATGGCTGGGATGGTACGAGTTTATATTTGGGATGGACGATGGGACACACATGCAAATTGTAGCACAACAAAATGTACCGATAAAGCCGGGAGGGGATCCTTTAGTTTTTGAAATCCGAATCCACCTTGCAGAGGTTGTTGTCGGCACTTCCGTTGTTCGTGCAGTAACCCACCTTCCCAGACCGGTGACACCTTGGCACTGCCTGGCGCATCTCTACGGCTGCTCGGCGTGCGCTTTCGCGCGCAAGCTCGCGCGCAGAGCGGTCAGCTGGTTTGGCACATCCTGCGCGGTCGCGATGGCGCCCGCGGCAGCGTTGATGATAGTGGCGATGGTGGTGGCGATGATGATGAAAACGGCCAGGCCAACCACGGAGCCGAGCCAGGTGACGACGATCCCGTGTCCCCCTCCGGGACATGCGAGTTTTCTTCACTTTTGCATCGCACAAAACTGCGCATGCAGGTTGGAAAACGGACGCCATCAGATACGACATCATTGCCAACCTACTATGCACGCGCCCTTGGTTGCAGCAGCCAGCGGCTTGACCTGACAGCATCCCACGTTGGTGACGAAGGTGATTGGCTGATTGTGGCAGCAATGACGGTGGGTGGCGATGACGAGATCGGCGGTGAGGGTTTGGAAATGCGCACGCACGGAAATTCAACAAACACGGCAGTGTTTTTGATCCAAAGCATTGTGTGGCTCATATGTTTTTCAGGAGGTCTACAATGACATGTTTTTTGACGGATTTCGACTAACCCGAGTGGTGGCGCGCGCGTGTGGCCCGCATGGTACAGCTTGATGCGGACTCGCGTATTTGGCGCATGCCAGGTCAACGCTGATGCACTGCGTCATGAGATGGGACTGCGGTTTCTGGAGCATCGTGTTAATCTCGTGTGTTTAGTACGTATGTTCAACAAGTTTGCGCGGGCTGGTTCGCGTGTGGGCTTTGTGTCAAATTTCGCAATGGACGTTTGATTCAAAGTTTTTTGAAATAAGCGGGCCTGCGCGCATAGTATTCATGTAATGGCATTCGGGGGTTGTCGATGCTCGGTTGGGCTGGGATGGTATGGTGGTATTTGGACCATGCAGGGTAGGGCAGAATCGTGGGCAATCTACGGTGTCCCAGGGGGGCCAGATGTCCCGGGGGGGGGGGAATGGTAGTTTCTATCTTTCGTTTGACAGGAGAACGTGTGTGGTGCGAGTTGTGGTTTGTAAAAAGGCCGCGCAACATATTTGGCGCAACAGCACTGGTGCAATAGATGTGGTGCAATGTGTGTGGTGCATGTCAGGACACAAAACAGGAACACCTTTTTTAACCCGCAGCGCGGAAGATGCAGTCCGCACGCGCGCTGGGGAGGGCCGGGACGCGGCATACGCTAATTGTCCGGCCGCAAGGTTGGCAGAACAAAAAAGGGAGGGGGCGGCAGAGGGGCGGCAGAGGGGAGGGAAAGCGCTCATGTGGCGGCATCCGCCGCGGAGCGGCTGGGGCGACCAGCCGGTGTTGCACCCTTGGCAGCGGGCGCGGGATGGCGTCGTGGGCACACCCAGGTACTCGGGCAGAGGCTGCAGTGCCAGAAGAGGGAGCGCGGTGACGTCGCAGCGAGGCAGAGGCAGTCCGCGCGCGCGTTCGGGCGGTCCGGGTGGCGGCGGACGCTCATGGTCCAGCGGCTGGATCGTGAGAAAAGCAAGGAGACGAACAAGGAAACCCGCATACGCATAAACTTTCGGAGCTCCGTCTGGAAAGCGGTCCTGGATCCCGTTTTGTTGGGCGGTTTTGGGGCCCATGGAGGACCCAGGGCGCCCGAAAGCGGCGAAAATATCCGGGACGGTTTTTTCTTTAAGAAATAATATAAACAAAAAAACATGCGAGCCAGGCAGTGCATTGCAGGCCATCCGTTTAGAGGTTTGGAGGTCATCCGAGGTTTCCTTGGCGTTTTCCATGCTGTTTGGCGACGGCTGGAACCTCCAGCCTCTGGGGGCCAGGGGGTGCTGGCGACCAAACCCCCAGGGACGCAAGTAAAATCGTAAAGGGCAGGCCGCAGAGACAAGGACGCAAGGGAACCTTAGAGAAGGCGCGCGTCCTCACTATGCGCGTCGACCGTAGCGGCAGCAAGCCATTGGCCCTTGAAAGAAAAACGCGTCCGAGCAGACTGGGACCTGGGCACCACACGAAATCCGGCAGCGCATTCCCGCAAACAAACCGGGGTGCGCGAGAGGGGTGGCTTCTCCTCAGAAGGCACGGGGGCTTCTCGGAAGCTTCCCCCGCGCCCCCAGAAACCCGCCCTGGAACCGAAGACCCAGCCCTCCTAACAAGGTGAGCCAAAGCAGAATCCAGACAACGTCGGACCAATGAATATCGGGAATCCCTGAGAACCACTTGGACGATGTCTCGGGCGCCGCGGCCGTTTCTGAGCGTTCGGAAACGCTCTGAGAGCATCCTGGGACGCTCTGGAACAGATTTATCTCGATTCTCGTCCCGTGTGACCTGCCCTCTTAGAACGCTGCTTTCCTGGCCCCACCCCCTGTTCTCAGCCAGCGGTCCTTCCACAGCGCCTTGGAGGCCGCCCAACAAAGATCCCAGCTTCGGCTTTCAACGGTCTTGCGTCCTCACCACCCGTCCTTATTATACGTTTTCACCGTACCTTTCCGTTGTTTTCCCCGTTTGGGGCCTCCTGGGGTGCCCTCGTCGCCACCGCTGGGTTCGCCTCGAGACTCTGGTCAGGATGCGCCCCAGGAGAGGTCCGGGGAGCAGCGGTATTGGTACCTTTTGGTTTCCCCAGGTTAGTAGTTATGATCGCTTGCTGCGTAACTTTTGGCCCATCACGCCAAAATGCCCAGGTCGATGACGAGAGGTTTCTTCTAAGTTTCTGCAGCCTGAGAAACCCTTGGGGCCGCTTGGAGTTCAATTGTAGCCTCTTAGGGGCTTGCTGGCAGTTTGCGGGGTCATCCTGGAGGGAAAGCATCGAAAACCCACTTCAGGTTCCCCCACTTGCCGCGTCTGGGCAGTTTCTGATATTCTTAGGAAAGAGAAGGCGAGTTCCTCCTCCTCCTCCTCGCTCCTCCTCCTCCCCCTCGCTCCTCCCCCTGCCCCTCTCCTCCTCCTCCTTCTCCTCCTCCTCCTCTTTCTTTGACGCTCATGTTTTGTCACGGGTGAGATGTTTGTCAAGAGTGGACATGTGATATTGTAGTGGCCTCCGGCCAGTGCCGCCGATCTGGGGCTCTCCTGATGCTAGTGTTGTTGAAATGGACGATGACGACGACAACGGACGACCAACGGTCGACGAGCGGGATAATTACGACGACGACCGACGAAGGAATTAATGACGACGAACCGACGACGACGACGACGACGACGACGACGACGACGACGACGACGACGACGACGACGACGACGACTGACGGCGAACGGCTGCCGACGGCCAACGACCGACGACTGGTGACGGCGACGGGTGGAAGGTTCTTCGTTCATCGCTTTCGCTTCCGAGCAATACCAAGTCAGGCCGTGCACCTCTGGCCTGGCGCCTCTTGGGGCCTCTTGGTTCTTGGGGCTTCTTGGGGGCCTCTCGGGGCCTCTTGGGGGCCTCTCGGGGTCCTCTTGGGGGCCTCTTGGGGACCTCTTGGGGGCCTCTGGGGGCCCCTTGGGGGCGCCTCGGGGGCATCTTGGGGGCTCTTGGGGTCATCTTGGGGTGGAGGACTAGAAGGGTCCGTTCGGGTTCATCCTCTTGAGGCTATCTTGGGGGCCTCTCGGGGTCGTCTTGGGGGGCCTCCAGGGCTATATTGGGGCCCTCCTCTTGGACCGTCTTCGGCGCTTCTAAGACGGAAAAGGCGATAATGTTAAAATGCTTCAAAACCAATTAGCAATTTTATTATTGTACCCTCGTAGGGGCCCTCTTGGGGGTCCTCTTGAAATCTCCTTGAGGCGTCTTGGAGGCCTCTTGGGCCGTCTTCAGGCCATCTTGGGCGTCCAGGAGCGCTCTTGGGCCGTTTCGGGCGCCTCCTGGACAGTTTTGGTGGCCTCCTGGGCCCCTTTCGGTCCGTCTTGGGGCGGTTTGGGATTCCCGGGGTGGGGGGGGTAGAGAAAGGGTGGACCCGATGATCCCCCCCCCCCCTCCCCCCCCTACCCCGGCAGAGCCCCCCCGGCCCCCCCCCCCAGCAGGGCTGAAGCTCAGGTTGTAGCTTTCTTAAACTCACACGCCGGATCGGCGGATTCATTAAGTCAAGAAAGGGCGGTGGCAACAAAGAAGCTTGCGTGTTGCCACGCGCGCAGCAGCCCGCGCAGGGTGCGCTCCGGCGCTTGCTGCGACCCTGACCCCTTGATCCTCTCCTCCTCCTCGTCCTCTTCGTCGTTTGTCCTCCTCCTCCTCCTCCTCCTCCTCCTCCTCGTCCTCCTCCTCCCCCTGCCCCTCTCCCTCCTTCGAAAACTCAGTGCTTCTCAATGTGTTTGGCTTTCTGGGCCAGACCCCAGGGCCTCCACAAGACGGCCCAAAGCAGGGCTCTGGTGACCATCTTGGGCAGTTAAGCAGGCGTAGGTGCCGACCGCAACGCCGATGCCTGTGCAAACGTACCCCTGGCATCCCCAGGGGCGTTCAACAGCGCGCACAGTTCGCACAATTCCCCGGCCGTCGTCAAGGTGTACGGCGGGAACAACCGATCGTAAGTCAGAGCTTGGGGAAATCTTGAGAATAGGGAGTAGACCGCAAAGCATGAAGAACGGCAGCACAGATTAAGGAGAGAGTTACTTCCAGGGCCTGGTGCCTTTCAGTCGCATCTGCAGTGCTCGCAGCTTGGACATCGAAGGGGCCCGAGGAAACTCCACTCGGTGCCTCGGCCAACCTCTTCCGAACTGCTTGAGCCACTGCGTATTACCCCCACCCCCAGGAAGAGTCGGGGACGTGGGGGTCGTCCTCGTTCTTCCCTCGAGCTTCGGCGACACTCTCCCCCCAGGAGGGGTGGGGGGGGACGAGGGGGGATGTAAGGGTGTAAAACCTATTCGACCAGCGTTGGGGGGGCGAGCCAGGGGCGGAAGATGTCCTCCTCCTCCTCTTCCTCCTCCCCCTGCCCCTCTCCCTCCCCTTAGTCCTCCTCCTCCTCCTCCTCCTCCTCCTCCTCCTCCTCCTCCACTGGACGTCCTTCGAAGACTCCTGTGCCCTGCCCTACCGCACGGCGAAGGGAATCAGCGCCGGGCTCGGTTTTGCTCCTCTGGTGGAGCTGCCGCAGACGAACTTCACGCAGCAGCAGGCTCCGCGACCCGGGGAGGGGGGGGGGAATGTCTATTGCCAGCTGGACGCACGTCCCTATGCCTCTGCCTGGCATCACCTTGCCTCGGTGCCGATCTCAGGGATTCCTCCCCAGTTTCTGAGGGCACATCCCTGAGACTGTCATCGCCTTTGGCCCGCCGAAAGAGATAGAGACAAGTACGAGGCAAGTTACAGTCAGCCCGCACAGGAAGGATGGGAACCTTTTCAAGGCTGCCCTTGCATCCGTGCCCCTTCGGCCCATCCTGAGCGACTTCCGCTGGCCAGCCTCGCTCGAACAACGTTAGCATGGCCCTCCAAGGCCCTTGCATCCTTCCCGCGCATCCTTATGCTGGTTGACTGTAGTCTGGGGGTCTAGGGGTGAGGACTGTCACGGGCGGCCTGGCCGATCCTTGGCAGGCCGACCTCTTCCGTGGCCACCCGCGCTGCCTCTTCGAGGGCGAGGGCCTCGCCACGGAAGAGGGGTCGGCTAGGCCACGCCTGATAGAGAGAGAGAGAGAAAGAGAGAGAGAGGGAGAGAGAGAGAGAGAGAGAGGACGAGGAGGGCGAGTCGGGGGCAAGTATAGAGGAGGATAGGCATCATGGAGGTTGTTGGGCGTCTTCGTCGGTTCCTCGAGGGTTTCCAGTCTCGGGATGCGTTCCAGCAGCTTCGCCTCGGCGCGGGCGCTCCGGGGGTGCTGGAATCGTCCCGAACGGCCGCTGGAGGCCAGAGTTATGACCCGAAAACCACCAGGGGATAGGCAGAGGGGGGGGGTACATCGACCCCTAATCGCCCATTGATCGCCGATAGGGGCACAGTAGCCCCAGCCTGCCCAGGAAGGTGCGGATTCACGATCGGGGGCCATCGCCGATGTATCGGCGATGAGTCGCCGAATCCAGGTCGGTGTTTCCCGTCCTGTGCCAGTCCCCCGGAGGAGGAGGAGGAGGAGGAGAGGGAGGAGGAGGAGGAGGAGGAGGAGGAGGAGGAGGAAGCACTTCGGCGATCATCCTGCAGTGCAGGGGCGACTTCGGGAAGCGCAGCGCGTTTTTCCCCGAAGTGTCGTACGCCTGCCGTGGTCACCGAGGCAGAGTGCACACGAGTCTTCGGCAATCTCTTCGAGCTGGTCGAAACCAGTCCCCAGCGTCTGCTCCGCACGTCCGTTCGGTGCAATCCCCATTTTCTCGACGGTTCCACCAGGGACCAAGTTCTGGATGACCGCGATCACTATCTCTGTCCGATGCTTCACCGGTTGTTTCCAAGGCGGTGCGCGGGTGGCTCTAGAAATCGCGGGGGTGATGGAGGCCAGGCAGGGGTGAACATGGTGGACGCGTGAGCCTGCAGGCTCACTTCGTGTCCAGACAGCCGATCGGCATTGGTTGCGAGCGTGTTCATGCCAGCCCACCCGCGTGCTCGCGTCTCACCCGTCAGCGATGTACAGTTGCTTTGTTGGGCAGCTTTCGCTGTGGCAATCAGGCTCTGGCTCGCCTCTCGCATCTTTGCAACCGTCGCGTCCTTCGGTGGAGCCCACGAGCTCCAGAAGTTGCAGACCAGAGCTTGCGGATGTCCCGCGCATGCTGCCAGGCAGGTTGCCAGACAGGTCCTGCGATCCTCATCTGCACATCGTCTTATCGGCTGGGCATGGTCGCTCGGCGCTTGGTCGCGCGTACTGGGCCCTCTTCTCGACAAATAAGTATTTATTGAGCAAGGATTGCCAAAGGCGTCTCAGGTTCAACGTAACGCTTAACATTAAAGTACATACAGAGCCTTCAAGCCATGGTTACTCTACCAAGTCGCTTGCCGTCTCTAGTCGTGGCCCGTTGGGAAGACAACGGTTGCGTCTGACCGTCTTTCCATGCAGCACTGCGCGCAGCAGCATCCCTGCGATCGAGCTCAGCCACCAGATCTGGACACAGTGGCGTGACCGAGGAAAGCTGGGACAAGTTTTCCATATCCGCGAAATGGCTTGAAGAAGTAGTGCGGAGCGTTCTTACGCGTACCGCCAGATTTCAGCACGTGTTCAATGCTTGAATACGGTCGGGGTCCAAGCCAAGAAACACCCTGCTTGCTTCCAGGGTGCCCTGGGTTTCTTCGGTTTCGATGGTTTTGCTTTTGGGAAGCTCGACGCTTCCACACCAAAAAACAATGGACGTTCTGGGGTCTGAGGGTTGGATTTCTTGTGGGAGGTCTCTTGTGGACTGGCCTCCACTGTGGCATACGCAATTGTGCAGCTAAACATGGTGCAAGCGTGTGCCCAGGTCGGTGTGTGAGGGGTTGGAGGGGGAAGGGGAGGGCGAGAGATGTGGAGGGATGTTTAGATCCGGAGGCATCGTGGGCAGCAGGCCCATGGGGTCCATGCTTTGACCTGTAGTTGGGGCCAGGAGGGGAGCGAGTGCCTGAAGGAGGAGTCGGATGATGGGCAAGGGAGGGCGGTGGAGGGGGGAAGGTTGAGGACGCAGCATCGAGGGTTGGATGGGGATGGCGGTGGCAGGTAGGGGTTCAGGATCTGAGGGGAGGAGAGCTTGGGGCAGGTGGAGGAGGCGGAGGAAGAGCCAGAGGAGGACCAGGAGGAGGAGGAAGAGGAGGAGGAGGAGGCGGAGGAGGAGGAGGAGGAGGAGGAGTAGGAGGAGGAGGCGGAGGAGCAGCAGGATGAGGAGGAGGCAAAGCAGCAGGAGGGAGGAGGGGACAGCGACAAGGAGGAGTCACAGGAGGAGGAGGGTGAGTCACAGGACGAGGATGAGGAGGAGGAGGAGAATGGAAGAGGAGGAGAAAGAGGAGGAGGAGGAGGAGGAGGAGGGAGGAGGAGGAGGAGGAGGAAGCTGCAGGCTGCAGGCCAGGGGCCGGCCAGGCTCTCCTCTACGAGGCGGAGAAGGCGAATTCCCACAAGATGGAGCCGGAGGTTCAGGGAGGGGGGGGTGCGGCTGCTCGCGTGGGCCGGGTGTCCGAGCCGAGCTCCCCCGAGACCTGCCTCGCGCTGAGAACACATCGCGAGGTCCTGGTGCAAGCCTCAAGACGGGGCTAGGATCGAAGGAGAAAAACGCCGTAGGCATAAACTTTTGGCGCTCCGCGGGGATATCTTGGATCCGCGCTGTGCCCCCTTGGCGGCGCCCCTGGCGATCTCCCCGCGCCAGGGAGGGGTGTCCAGCGCAGATCCAAGAAATCCGCGCGGAGCGCCAGAAGTTAGCGTTTATGGCGTCTCGTCTTCTATTTGACGAAGATGAATCCGTTCCAGTGCGTTCTGGCACGCTCTCAGAGCGTTCCGGAACGCTCTGAAAAGGCCGCGGCGCCCGAGACATCATCCAGAGTCGCCGGATCTCAGGGAGTCTCGATGTACCCGCACCCTCGATGTTATCTTCGTCCTGTCTTCGTCTTACCCTGCCCAGGCCCTCATCGCATCGAATAAGCCGTGACGTGGCGACACATCGGCTGCATTAGCATATGGCGTGAGGATCAAATTGCAGCTTTCTAGCGGCTAGTCTGTGCACCACACGGGGGAAGGGGGGAGTCGCCTGGGGAAAAGCTTCAGACCTCCCTTGGAGAGAGAGAGAGAGAGAGAGCGACGGAGAGATGCACATCGATATTGATAATGTATAAACACATTGACCTGAACAAATACATCTACATGTGAATGCACGTGTGCACGTATGTACGTATGTGTATGCACGTATGTACGTAGCTACGTATGCACGTATGTACGTATGTGTGCATGCATATCTGCATGCATGTATGTATGTGTGTGGTCCTTTTCCTATATTTTTATAAGCCCGGGCGGGGGGACCCCCCCCCCAAACAAAAAAAAAACGGACTCCCGGGATCCGGGGCTTTGGGACCCTCCAGACGGGCCTCGAAGCGGCCCCCCAGGACTCGCAGGGCGTTTTGCCAAGCCTTCCCAGCACAGCTAGGGCGATCAGGGAGGTCATTGGAGAAGTCCCAGAGACCCCCAAGACAGCACAAGAGCGCTCCAAGAATGACCGACGTGACCTCAAGATGGCCCAAGAGGTCTCCAGGATGGCCCCAAAGGCCTCCAAGAGCCCTTCCAAGAAGGCCCCAAGAGGCACAAATCATTGATTTTCTGATGGTTTTTCGTGAATTTTGGAGTTATCCTCTTTTCGGCTTCCCGACGCTCCAACACGGCAGTCTGCTGGGCGTCCGAAGCCGCCTGGGAGGCTCCAAAATCGCCCCACAGCCATCCGAAAGGGCTTCCAGGCAGTCCAACAGAGCCCCAAAACGGCACAACAGGGGTCAAAGATGGCCCGAAGAGAGCCCCATGGCGGCCCAAGACGGCCCCAAGACACCCTCCGAAGCATTCTAAATCGTGACCCGGTCGTTCAGGGGGACCGCGGTTGGAGGCAGGGTCGCCCGAGGAAGCCCCCAGAACCTCTAGAACACGCCCAGGAGGCCTCCAGAAGGCCTTAAGAAAGCCTGAAACTTTTGTGAGGTCCCCAGAGGCTCTCCAAGAGGAGCCTCCGCAAAAAGAGCTGAGGAGGATGGGGACAATGCGCAGGGTATGGCGAGAAAGGGGAAAAAGAAGCAGGGGGAAGGATAACGAATAACTTCATTTTAGCGGCGATGCTGGAAAAGGCAAGAAGGAGTTATCGCTAAATTGTCGGCTTGACCTTCCTGCCATTCCGCTTGCATACCAAACTTCAAGGACCAAGGTGCATGGCGCGAAGCGCCACTGCAGTCTTGTGTATATACACATACCTTTATCTGTATATATATATATATGTATGTATGTGTATATATATAAATGTACGTACGTACGTTTTTGATGTTCCAACCTCAACCTACTTTAGCTTTGGAAGAATTTCGATCTGGTGTTCACGTGTCGGGCCCTGAGAGACACTCGTCCGACACTGTTTCGACACTCATTCGACATGTTTCTGCGTTCTCGAAATTATTTCTGGGATGTGGCCCAACAGTACGATGGGAGCAACATGAACATACGTACGCAGAGATTCATGTATGTAGGTATGCATGTATGTGTGTAAGAGTGCGTGTATGGTTATGTGTGTGTATGTATGCACGCGTGCATGCCTGCATGCATGCATGCATGCATGCATGTGTATATGTGCACGGTACGTAAGTACGTATGTACATGTATGCATGTACGTATGAAGGTATGTATATACGTACGTACGTACGTATACGTGTGTGTATGTATGCATGTGCGTGTATGTGCGTATACGTGTGCATGCAAGCATGCATGCATGCATGCATGCAGGTATGTATGTGCGTACGTACGTGTGCACGTATGTACGTATGAACGTTTGTAAGGATTCACGTATGTACGTATGGATGTATGCGTTTACGCACGTATGTACGTATGTATGCATGTAAGCACACATGTTTGTATGTATATACGTATGTATAGGTGGATGGGTGGATGTGAGGATATGTTCACACTCCCATGCATACATGTGTGCAAGCATGTGATGTATACTGCATGTATATATAGATGTGTGTACGCATGCGCGCATGTACGTATGTACGCATGCACGTAGAGTTGTATGAATGTATAATGGATGTATGCATGCATGCATACATGTAAGCATGTACGTAGAACCGCATGTGTGCTTGCATGTGTGTATGCATGCATGCATGCATGTATGCATGTACGTTCGTAGTTACGCATCCGCGTATGCACGCATATATGCCTTTACGTGTGTACGTACGTACATAATTATGTACGTTTGCACGTATGTATATACATGTATGTATGCATGTATGACTGCATATATGTATGCGTGCGTTAATGTATGTGCGTATGTATTCATGCGTGCACGTGTGCATGCATGCATGCATGCATGCAATCATGTATGTGTGCGTGTATGCATGCATGCATGCGTATATGTATGTGTCTACGTATGTATGTACGTACATATGCACGTATGAATGTATGTATGTACGTTTGCATGCATGTATGCATGTATGTATGTATGTGTATGCATATCTGCATGCATGTGTATACGTATGTCTATCTCTACGTAACGCTGTATGCATGTATATATGCATGCATGCATGTATGTGCGCATGTATGGCTGTATACCTGCATGCTTGCATGCCTGCATGTATGTATATGCTGATGTACGTATGTAGGCATGCACGTATGCAGTCATCTACGCATGTTTGTATTAATGTGTGTCTGTATGCGTGCATATACGTAGAAGATGTATGTATGCATGCATGCATGCATGCCTGTCTGTATTTCTGGATGTATGGATGTATGAATGAATGTATGCACGTTTTTATGTGCAGTGAAACGGACAGCCCCCCGCTGGGCCATCGGTTTCAGTTTCGTGTTCGTGTAATGCGTGTGGCCAGGCGACGTTGCGTGGGAGGGCGAGAGGGATAAGTCATCACTTCGTAGGGCGCCTCCGGGCCAAACGACCGCCCGCCGGGTTGTCTGGAGGTGGCCGGGGTTGTCGTGGCGTAGTGTTTTGGAGGTGTCCAGTGGTGTCTCGTGATCTCCCTCGTTGTCCCCAGGTGGCCCGTGGTGTCCCGTGACGTGGTGTCCCCTGGTGTCCCGTGGTGTCCCGTCGGTGTCCCGTCGGTGTCCCGCAGTGAGATTGATAGTGAGATCGATCGTGAGACCGATAGTGAGACCGATAGTCAGATCGATACTGAGATCGCTAGTTTGATCGATAGTGAGAGGGATACTTAGATCGATAGTGAGATCGACAGTGAGATCGATAGTGCGATCGATAGTGAGATCGATTGAGTGAGATCGATAGTAAGGGAGAGGTAGTGAGATCGACAGTGAGATCCATCGGGTGAGACGTTTGTTCGTTTGTTCCTCCCCCCCGAACCTCCGCATCTCCAGAAGGGTGGTCGTTTTGGTCGGAGGTTTGGGGGGCGAGAGCGAAGCGGAACGGAGAGCCCCTCCCGGAATTCGGGTTCAGTTTCGGGTTCGTGTCGTGCGTGCAGGCGAGGCGAAGTTGCGCGGGCGGGCGAGAGGAATGACCATGCCGTGGCTCGGGTTAAGTCGGGCCTGTCCCTCTACAGGACGAGTACTCAAAAATACTAATACTCTGGGGATGGTTGTTAAATCATTGTCGTGCAATTGTGTAGATTGTTGGTCAATTGATATTTTTTCTTCCAAAATCTGCCTGCAGGAGGACATGCCCGACGTCAGGCTAGGGCGGGGCAAGGAGGCAAGCGACCGCCCCCTTTTGATGGCCCGGCGTCGCCGTAGGTGTCTCGCCGTCGGTGTCCCGTCGGTCGATTGGCATTTGTTCTTCTCTGGAGGGTTTCTCCAAAGGGCTTAGGCGACCCGTCCTCCTCCTCCTCTTCCTCCTCCTCCTCTCCTCCCTCCTCCACCTCCGCCCCCTCCACCTCCTCCTCTCCCTCCCCTTCCTCCTCCTCCTCCTCCTCGGGTCGCCTAAGTCCCCTGGGGAAACCGTGCAGACCGAGGTCGATAGTGAGATCGTGTGAGATCGATAGTGTGATCGATTGTGCGATCGATGGTGAGGTAGATGGAGTGAGATCGCTGGGTTCAGATAGAAAGTGAGATCGGCAGAGTTAGATTGATAGAAGGAGATCGATCGAGTGAGATCGATAGTAAAATCGACAGTGAGGTCGATAGTGAGAGTGGTAGCGAGATCAATAGTGAGGTCGGTGGTGGGATTAATTGAGTGATGAGTGGGTTCCGTCCCCCCGCACCCCACAGCCTCCTCACAACCCTGAAAGGTCTTTAGACCCCCCCCCCCAATATGGTGTAACTAATTATGTTCGGCGGCCTTCTTGAAGGACTGGTCCCACCAAGAGGAGGTCACTGATTTTTTTGTCTGCGGCATCCGCCGCGCAACAACGACGACGACAGCTAAGGCGCAGGAGGAGGAGAAGGAGAAAGAGGAAGGAGGAGGAGGACGCTTTAGGACCAGACCTATTCACCGCCGA